GAGTCTGCTGCTGTTTTGTTCCTTCAGCTTTTTCTGTTATACTACACAGATGAGTGAAATCATTTGGTACTTGTCTTTCTCTGCCTGGTTTATTTCACTGAGCATAATACCCTCTAGCTCCATCCATGTTGTTGCAAATGGTAGAATTTTTTTCTTATGGCTGAATGATATTCCATTGTGTATATGTACCACATCTTCTTTATCCATTCATCTACGGATGGACACTTAGGTTGCTTCCATTTCTTGGTTATTGCAAATAGTGTTGCAATAAACATAGGGGTGCATATGTCTTTCTCAAACTGGGCTGCTGCATTCTTAGGGTAAATTCCTAGGAGTATAATTCCTGGGTCAAATGGTATTTCTATTTTGAGTTTTTTGAGGAACCTCCACACTGCTTTCCACAGCTACATTCCCACCAGCAGTGTAGAAGGGTTCCCCTTTCTCCACAACCTTGCCAACATTGGTTGTTGTCTTTTGGATGGTGGCGATCCTTACTGGTGTGAGGTGATATCTCATTGTGGTTTTAATTTGCATTTCTCTCATGACTAGCGATGTGGAGCACCTTTGCATATGTCTGTCGGCCATCTGAATTTCTTCTTTGGAGAACTGACTGTTCAGCTCCTGGGATTGTTTTTTATTTATCTCCGTATTTGGCACCAGCACAGGTGGGTTAGGGTTACTTCAGTCCTAGGTTTCTAGAAATCTTGGCTAGGTGACTAGGCACCCCCCATTTCATGCTGATCCTACTAGAAAACCACAGGTACCAGTTGTCACAATGTCTTCATCAAGCCATTGATTCTGCTCGTCAAATATAAACCTCTGAACAGAACACTAGCAATAGCTACACTGCCTACACATCTAGGTTTGAGTCTCCGTACCCTGCTGAGCCTTGCTCTTTTTAGCCTTACTTACCTGGCCCATCTCACCCTTTCGTGTATAGCAACAGGGTTACTGTACTTGTAAACTCTGTAGATCTCAGCGCAGGTGTAGTATGATTCTTTCTTCTTATTGCATTCTCACAGCAATCTCACAGGGAAGATAATATCATCCTCACTTTGAATAGGGAAAGTGTGAGACCAGTTATGTAATTTGTGAGGGAAATGAGTATGTGGGGCTCTTTGTTCAAAAGGCAGGGAAAAAGCATCATTAAAGGTAATACATATAAATTTTTTCCTTTCTTCTGTAGTGTCTCTCTCAAATTGTCATGGTGCCTTTTATTTGCTACTTAATTTTGTGTTCCCTTGGGTATGGGGGTAATTATATAGGGCCTGGCCCTATAACTTGATGTATATACAACCCACAGGCCACCAGGTATATTACAGACACTCAAATTTGAATTTCATATCATTTTCATGTGTTAAGAAATATTATTCCTCTTTGGACATTTTCTCTTAACCATTAAAAAATATAAAAACCATCCTTAGCTTACAAGCCGCATAAAAACTGCAGTCAACTAGATTTAACTCAGGTATGTCAACCTCTGAACTCAATGACCATTTTAATTATTGAACATTTACAACCTGCATATGCTAATGAAAGAGCATTTGTGTAAAGTAAAGGGAAAATGTTGCCTTGGCCTTCTGTATAAATGAAAAGTTCATAACTGTTCAAAGAGAACAATGGTAGAAGATATCACGTGACTTTTGGCAGTACATATCACATCAAACTCAAAGGAAACCTGGGCTGTAGCATTCAGTACCATGTTTGTGTTGTAAGCAGCAAATTAATTTCAGAAAAATGCATTCATCACAGCAAATCAGGGATGCTAATTTCAATTTTATTGACTATAGTTTTGAATATTTTAGTACTTACCTCTGCCTAAATAAATTTTATCCACACAAAGCCTAGGTCCAATCCTTCTCTCTCTGACAATACTCTAGACCTGTCACTCCAAAAGGAAGTCCACAGGTGGATCATCTAGTGACAGGCAGCACACATATGAGGTATGGAGAGGAATTAAGGCAATGTAAAGAGCTGTTCTTAAAGGTTAAGTAGTAAAAGAAAACCCTGGCAACCTATCTCAGATCCCCAAATCTTCTGGAAATTTTATTGATTCATGAAATCAGAAGTTTGGGAAACACTGCTATTGACTTCTTGCATAGGACTCCAGAAGCATACACAAGGAACACTCATTTGGCATACAAAGAAGAACTTGTATTGTTATTTGACTTTGCTTTTTAGTCTCCTCTTCCAGATAGTAAGCATATAAAAGGCAGGAATTTTTCTCCTACTTTGTATAGTCCCCTTAGCAGGTGCTCACGAAATATGTGTGAGGGAATAAAGGCAATACCCGTTCCCACCTTTATGCGTAAGAAAAAAACAAAACCCTTCAGCCTTTTGTAACTCCCCCCCAAAAAAAATCTCATGGGTTCTGGGTATGCAGTCCGTTTGCTGATGCCTATGGGGAAAGTAGATAGGCTAAACAACTGTAAGTTCTTGGAAGTTCACTTTCCCCTGTGCAGGCAGGGTCGGGTGGAAAATCTCCTCTCTTAGGTAAGTTCCTTCTCTTTTCCCCTTCTGACTTTCTGCTTCTGTGTCCAAACAATCAATTTAAACCTAAACATAGTTCCTTCCTTTCTTAGCTTCTTGCTTGTGAGAACTTACCTCCATCTTGTAGTTATTTTCCCCCAAGCTCCAATCATTCAGTAATTATTTAATGAGCATGTCCTGTGTCATCCCGATATTTCATCTGCTAACAGCTCCAAGCAGAAGTTGATCCCTTGCTTCTTCCTGAACCGTAATCCAATTTGTCCTGGCATAGGGGCTCAGCAAGAAAGGCCTAAGCCTGTTATCAAAACACCTGTGATCCTAACTGAGGTTTCCTCAGAGTCTTAGGATATTTGCATAAAATTAAAAATTATTAATACTTATTTTTAAAAAGAACTTGAATTTGAGCCCAAACATTGTGACCAAGTAGCAAGCGATCTTGAGCAAACCTCTCAGCTTCTCTACCTGTAGACTGGGAGGGCTAAACTCAAGCTGTGAAGGTACTTGCAGCGTCATATGCAAATCCATGCTGTACACACATCTCCAGGCTTACTATGAGGCAGACTGCCTTTACAGTATCACTCTCTCTCTCATTCAGAGAGCTCTCTAATCTTTCAAAAGCACTGATGATCTAAAAAGTTCCCGTGGCTTTCTCTACTATACGTGGCCTGTCATACTAAATATATATATATATATATATATATAAAGGAAAACTACAGCAGAAGTAAAAAAAAAAGCAGAATTGAAACAAAGGTGGCTATAAAATTTGTAGTAGACAGCTAGACACCTGGTAAAAAAAATATTGACCCTTTAAACATTTTCAGAGATATTCCACCTTATAGCAAATACAATCAGGCATTGCCAATAAAGGTGTTTCATAGAAATAAGAAGCATCGAGGGCAAAACAGAAAACAGCACTACCTATTAAGGGTGTAAGTACAGACAAAACTTCCTTTAAGATCCTTAGGGAATGAACATATGGTTTTTGAACAAATCAATTCCAACACACACCAATAATATAAGTAAACTTCTACAGTTCATATTTATGGTATTCTGAAAGGTTTAAATAGCTTATTTTAAAATTGTACATTACAATCCAAAGAAACCAAAATCTCACATAGTCTCTAGGTCCAAATAACAATTTAGAGGAAATAGGAATTCAGAACATAAAAACAGATACTATGGGGAAATACTCAGCATAAAACAGACTGGAATTTTTACAGGACAAATGATCTAATTTTTCAACCAGTAAAGGCGAGAAAGGAAAAAACCAATAAGAGATGATCAGGATTAACTAACTATAGACTGAAAGACATGAGACTTACCAACCATTTCCACAATATGTAAACTTTTGTTTTGACTTAAGTAACTTGTAAAAGTAACTGAGTAACTGAAATATTTAGAGATGAAATTACCTGATGTCTGAGATAATATGGGAAGGGAATAAGTGGAGATATAGATGAAATAGGATTGGGAAAATAATGATACATGTTGAAGCTGGGTGATACATACACGGAATTCATTATACTCTTATGTCTACTTTTGTATTTTTGAAATAGTCTATAATAAAAGAAAAAAGGGACATATAAAAATTTAACATATAATCAGGTAGAGTCTTTGTGAGCTTGTATTAAAACTTCTGTTGACTTTTGCAGTTGCTGTATTTGTGTCCACCTTTCCTGGGCCTAATTTTCTATCCTATTATTTTATTGTACATTTCTTGGTTTGAGAGGCCATGTACACATAAACTCAAAGTTCTATACCAAAGGTTATAGAGAAGCCTTAAGATTCCTGGTTTTCCTAAGGGAACCATGTAGCAATCAAACTGATGAAAATGGGTCAAATTTCATTTCTGTAGAATTATGCTATTACATATTATCTGCTATCACCCAACCTAGTAATGAAGCAGGGATGGTGCATATGGTCTGTGCAAATCCAAGAGCTTTCCTTCAGCTTTGTACTTGAAGTTCTCTAAGTTCATTTTAAAGTAAAATAGAACATCTAATACACTAATTATACTTTACCTGATATACAATTTAAAATAGAAGACATTTAACAATAAAACAATAAAATACCCAAAGAAACCAGGAGACAGAGTGGTTGTAAATCCTGTGGTCTGAATATATCGTGATGATGCATTTCACATTTGGCAGTGACAACCCAAAGCACACAAACTCATCCAGAAATGAAAAGAAACCAAGGGTAATTAGGCTCACATAAAATTAAATTTTAGGGGAGAATTCTAATTTATTAATTTACAAGAATTACCAGAAACTGTACCTGATCAGCTCTCATACTAAGGTCTCTGTTTCTGGGAAAGCAAATCAGTGTGAATTGCTTGGTGAGTATGGAATTAAAGAGAGGAAAGATAATTTTTCTAAAAACTTTCTTTTTGGTAACAATGTGTCTCTTTTGGAGACTCCCCTCTCCTCTTCCAGGGCAGTACATTTTTTGGTTTCCACTCCACAAGTTGTCCATGATCTCTAACTTGTTCCTCATAAAAAGCCAGTAAATTTTTTTTTGTTTTTGATTCAAATCATTCTTTCATCTTTAAACTTAGACTAATTCACTTTTATCTATTCCAGATTTAAACTATCTTGATTTTGATTCCATGCCTTGTATGGTCACCACCCAAGGTGTTCAGTGTTTGATGAAAAAATTTGCTAGGTCTTGGAGTAATGCTTTCTGCTGATCTGCATATTCATGTGACAGAGATTCAGAATCTATCAGATAATTTTTTAAGCATTATATACATGGCACTCACTGTCACAAGGTGTTTCTGTAAACTACATCCCAAGGAGGACTACTGTGAAGCAGATATTTTCTGACATATAATTAACAATAATTAGGAGTTAAGAGTCTTAAGACTTCAGTCCACCAAATTAAGGTATGCCATGCAGCAAATATTGCAATGATTACGAGCAGAACAGTGTAGGGGGCTGAGTACTAATGTAGACTGCCTGGGTTCAAATCTGGGTAGTTACTAGGTAGTCACTAGCCATGCGTTCTTGGAAGTCTACCTTACTGGTCTGTGCCTCAATTTCCTCAACTACAAATCTTACCCCATGAGACTGCTAAGCAGGATTAAGGGTATTAAATCAATTAATATTTGTAAAGCATTTAGGCCGGCACACAGTACGTACTATATAATCTAACGTATATTAGCTTATTATTATATATATATATATAAATGTATCATAAGCTTAAATGGTAAATACACATCTGTATATCTGTTCTACTAGTTAAAATACAGTCTTAAAAAACAAAACTATTTTACATTCTAAATCTGAGAATGAGCAAAGAATATAGCAACTGGACCTGAAATATATTACAAATTAAAAATCTAATACACAAAAAGCACAACTGTATCTGATTATTGGCTGTGTTAATCAAGGTAATAATCTTAACGTGATCTTAAACTAACAGAGTAACCCTAACAGACATTTATTTAAATCTCTTTGATAACAGCGCACTGCTTTCTTAGAGATGAAAAGGCTCTGGGGAGGTAATTTAAAACGATGCCAATCTACAACAAATGTTCAGAATTTAAAGTTTTTTTTTAAGAAATTTGTCCAAAGCAAACAGAAGCATTCCAAATATTCCAGTGATTTGCAAATGCTTTCAAAAGTGGCCCAAAATTATAATAGTGCTGATAAAGGAAGTGTAATAGTATAATCTAAAGTTGCATTTCAGCTCTGCTAGTACAAAGCTGTGGAAACTGGATAAGAAAGATACTTAACATTGGTAAGCCTTTTCAGCTCTATAGTTAGAATTCTAAGTCTGAAACTTTAAAGAACCAAAACATGTTAACTATGTAAAAACATGTTTTTATGAAAATATTAAGTGGAAAAAGTAGACCACACATTGTATACTCAAGTGATTATAACTATCTAAGTTTGTGAAATAGGTCTACCCATTTATCTGGTCATCCATCTATAGATATAAAGCAGACCTAAGAGATGAGAATGGTCACTATATGGCACAGCATAACATTTTAAAGTGATATTTATGCCAAAAACCATTTTACAATTTGCAACCACAACCACCAAAGTAGTAACTGAGTCAGGCAAAAACTACCAGTAGATCTAAAACCACTGTTGGGGAAGAACATTCCAGAGTAGGATATTCACATGCTGTCAAAGATATACACAGGTTACTTACGAAGTACTAAGGGAAAGGTACCTTTAGAGCGAGGCAGTCAGTTAAACCCTCCCTTAACTAAGTGATCCAATGTAACACCACCAATGCTGGGACAGTGCACATCGGTGCTTCCTGCTGTTGTGCCTTCTCTGAAGCATTTGTGCCAAAAATGTTTAATCTCAATCTAACCGTGTGGAAACGAGACAAATCCAAATTGAGGGACAGTCAGTGAAATAACTGGCTTAGATTCTTCAGAAATGAAGTATGTAGACTAAAGGAGATTAGAGAAACATGAAAACTAAATGCAGCGCATGATCCTTGAAAGGATTTTAGGAGGGGGAAAAAGTCCAGCTATAAAAGACATTACCAGGACAACTGCATAAATCTGAATAAGGACTATAATCATTCTAAATAATACTGTACTAATTTTCTGAATTTGATAATTGCATTGTGGTCATGTAAAATAGTGCTCTTGTTTTAGAGGATTAAAGAAGTATTTATGGGGTCAAACCCAATTATGGGATTAATCTGGGTGTTGATAAGTAATATTCAAACGATTCAGAAAAAAAGGAAAAAATACAGAAAATAGTAAAAGAAATGTGGCAATGTTACCAACAGGTAAATTTAGGTCAAGGATATATGAGTGCTCATTGTTTTTGCTTGCCACTTTTTTTAGGATTAAAATTTTTAAAAAAGAGCTGGGCAAAAGTCCATCTTTGTTTTCATGATCCACAATGAACTCCACTATAATTATAGTCACCAAATATGGACAAGGAAGGCTAAGGAAGCAAAAAGCAAACAAACATCTAATTTTAAGTAGTAATGATAACCTATAAGTCCACATTTCCCTCAAAAAATATAAAGTTTATAGAAGGTAATCACTTCCTAAATGGAGAACTTAAAGAACTCTCTTATTAGATAGACATAGTATAAGTAATCAGAAACAAATGAGATAAAATTTATCATTAAAAAATAAGTGTAGAGGTAGAAAGAAATATACTGCTTATATGTAGTAAACATAGATGATTTACTTTTCAGAAAAAGTAACTATTGCAAATGCTCAAAATTATTACTCTACAGTTGGACAGATGAGATCCATTATTCAGTAACTTTATTCAATAAGCATTTAATGAACAGCAATTACGTGCTGGTGGTCTTGTGCTTAGTGTGTAGGAAAAGTAAGACAAAGTCTGTTTTTAAGAACTCAGACTGTAAGTTTTGTCTCAATTATACCTCAACAAAAAGTAAGTAGTCTCTGTGTCCTTATAAAATCCTTATTTCTAAATTTAATGACTTAGTCTGTAGGCAACCTAATTTTCTACTTATTTCAAGCATCAGTAATTTTTTTCCATACTATTTACAACCCAAATTATTAAATGTTACAATAAAGACTTTATAAGGGCCCTGCACAGAAGATGAAAAATTTAAGGGCACAGAGAATCTCTCTCTGACTTCTGCCCCATCAAAGGCCTCTCTCTACTTGTTTGATGTCTGACCAGGCAAGTTATGCTTCCATGCAGAACCATATTCGAGTGCAATATATCAGGAGTCATGAAGAGCAAAGTATCAGTCTATGAACTGACTGCAACTGAATTTCAGTTGCTCACCTTTTCTTTGATGGAAGAATTCACAAATCCATCTGAGATTTAACTCCTCTTATTAATATATACAATTATTAATATGGGTTCTTATAAACAAAATCATAAATAGCTCAGAATCTAAAAAGTATAAAAATCCTGAATAATCTTAACCCCCATAAAAATGTACCCCTAAATCAAAGGATCCATTGTTCTATAGCTCAAAGTTTTAAGAAAAAGCTTAGGAACCCACAATTTTATGTCTGAATATCTGCAGATAATTCTTAAGTGGTTCAGCAAAAAAGATACAAAACAGATATACACCGTGGGGACCTCATTTTTCATTTCTGTTGAGAAGTACTATATCACTTTATCTAAGCAGAAGGTCCTATTATATAAGGGAGCATGATGGTTAATACATACTCTTACCTTTATTTCCTTTCTCTCAGGATTAAATAAAATAAAGAATGAGAGGAGAAACTGTTTTATTATCTGCCATAGTTATAACTAACGTTTATATAGAGTACCTGACTTAAAACGAAGCCATCTCTAAGGCAAATTAGGTTAAGCAACTGGGATTCTGTAAATCTGGGCTCTAGAATCACTTAAATTTTTATTTACAGCTAGAACTTCTAGGATTTAAAAAAAACATATCATAACCCTTTAAGTTAAAACAGGTTTCAAAATGATTTCTTAAACAGAGCCCTTCATAGCTCAGAAAGGTTTCAAGTTACTTTACATCATCTATTAAGAGTGATTTAACTTTTAATAAAATAGAGTTTGCTTTCAAGAAATAAAAGCAACCTTTTATTCTACATAGATCCCTTCACTTGTCCTAAATCCAAAGAGTTAAAAAGAGAAATTCTATGGTCAATCATTTACAAAACTATTTTCAGAAGAGACTTTGCTATTTAGTAGTATATTTTTATAACCTAAATTATCAACTAATGATGGAGGTAGTCTAAGAGACAATGTACAGAAAGAGGAATTGTTCAATCCCCAGGTATGTAAAGAAGGCAAATGGAAGTAGGTAAAGGACAGAAGAAAATGGCAGAAGATAAGCACATGCCTGTACAAGGTCCCCCTTCCTTCCCTGCTGTGGAACTGACCTCTTCTCTCTCCCGTGAGCACAGATAAGCTGGGACAGCTTCTGATAGAACTAAATTCTTCCTAGAATCACTGTTTCAGTGGTGATTTTTTTCTAAGAACTGTTCAAAACACATGGTAAAAAATTAGACTTTTATCAATACACAAATAAGTTTACTTAAAATCAGCTCAGTTACAGTATTTTAAAAAACTTTCAGAACCTCTCCCCACCAATGTCCATAACCTAGAATAGGTTCACGTGAAACCTGCAGTCCAACCTAGAAGCATCAATAAGTGATGGTCCAGGTACTTGATGACACATTTGTCTTCTCACTGAGATAGTCACAAACAAAACACATCGCTTTTCTGGATGAGTAGAAGGACTCACATAAAAGAGCTTCATTAAACATCTATGAAGGAGAACTGGTATATTAGAAGAGGTCTAGCACTTCAATTGAATATAATTCTCTATTATTCTTTTCTTGATTTAATTTCTGTAGCTCACGAAAACTTACTTCGATCTTGTTGAGCTCGGAACATATGCATACCTAAAAAAAAATATTTCAGAGTAACTTTTACTATAACATCTACATATGAACAAATCTTTCATGATTACTTATAACTATTCCAAGAAAAAACTATAAGGAATAAATTATAATTTAGGTGGTACTTGGGTACAAACAGAACTTAGTTTATATTGAATAATCACATACCTGGGATTTCACAAACTTATAAAGATTTAACAGTAGCCTTTTCGCTTCTGGTATCATTACCATAACAGTAAAATTGGCATCCAGAAGTAGGCACATCCAATCCAGAATCTGAAGATAAACAGAAAATGGAAAGTTAAGATCTTAAATTTAATTTTAGGTTCATTTTACAAAATCCATAATTATACCAAACAGTTATTTACAAGAAAAATTAAATCTTTACAAAAACCTGAATATTTTAGATATGGAGGAATCTAAGCAATATTTTAAAAGGGCTCTTTTCTCGTTCAAAAAAACATAATTAGATCTTTTTTCATAAGATTAATCAGTAAAAAGAAAGCCAGAGTGTTATTTAATCCAAGAGAGAGTTAGTATTTGTCCTTTTATTTAAAAATGTTTAAAAAATAATTACTGGCAATTACCAAAAAAAGAACCCACTCATCTCCTCTGAAATATATATGCCCCAAGAATTAGGTGTTGTATATTATAGATGAGCACCATTAACTAAAATATCATTATTACAATACAGTCACTAAAGTATTCTACATAGTTCTACATCTTCAAATGGTATCATTAACATGCAAATATCACTGTCATGAAAAAGCATTAAGGAAACTGATTATCCACTTGGGGAGGGCGGGGGAAGTAAGTGGATCCCTATGAAACTCATTACACCAAAATAAATTTTATATGTATCTGAGAGTTAAACACAGAGAAGGAAACCATGAATGTATTAGGGAAAAGAAGGATGGCTTTTATATTCTTAGAGAGGCCTTAAGCATGACATAGCCATAAAGAAGCCAAAAAGGGAAAAGGTTATTAACTTTGACAGCATAAAAATTAGTAACTTATTTATGGCAAAAATTACACTAAAGAGAGTAAAAAGACAAGTAATATGAAAAAGTATAATGCTTTTGACAGAAAAAGGTTAATTTCCTTAATACATGAAGAATTCTTTATAAGCCAAATGAAAAAGACAGAACATGTAACAGAAAAATGGGCAAAGAACCTGACTAAGCAGTTCACAAAAAGTAATATAAATAGGCAAGAAAAGACAGTCCATTTCTCTCATTACCAAAGAAATGCAAATTAAAATAAAGTGCCTTGTGTAACCTATTTGACTGGCAAAGGGTAAAGCCTCAAACCTTGGTGGCAGTAGTACCTACTGTCACATTTTGGAAACTAAAAATGTATACACCCTTTATCCAGTAATTTCATACAGGAATTTACCCAACAGGTGTCCTCTCATAAATACACTATGAGAGGCTTGCTAAAGGTTTGTTTATAATAGCAAAAAACTGGAACCAACTAAATTCAAGCAACAGGGGAATGACAAATTAACTAAGATTTTCCATAAAATGAAACAGTATACAATAGTTAAAAAGACTGAGGCAGATATATGTAAATACTGATCCAGAAAATGTCCAAAACATAGTATTGAGTGAAGAAAACAAATTGCAGAATACCGTGCATACTATGATCTACTTTGTGTTAGAAAGACAAGTTTTACATTTGAGACTAATATAATATTGTATATCAACTATATTCAACTAGAAAAAAGATAAGTTAGTATAGAGAAAGAAAATTTCTAGACATAAAAGAAACTTAATAATGGTTATCTTTAAGAGGGACTAGGGGAGAAGGGACACAAAGTTTTCTTTTTGTTTATAACCTTTGGTATTGTTGGAACTTTTGACTATAAAATCAATTACTTAAAAATTTTTTAACTTACTTTTAAGAATGAAAATAGTCAAATACAGTGTTTGAAGTGTTTAATTAGGATAACACATTCTTAAATCAGAATAAATTATTTTTTAAATGTTCCAACTGTTTCTCAAATTTGGTATTAAAAGAGGGCCTACCATGAGATTCACTGACAACATTTTTTCATTTAACTTTTTTTCTTATTCTTAAGGATTGTTAGGACACTTATTATCACCCTCTCCCAACAAGGCTAAGTAAATTCTTGAAAAGGGTCACAATAATGAATCAGGGATTTAAGATATATTTAGGCTCTTTAGTATAAAATTACGGCTCCAAAAATCTATCTGACAAAGTGAGAGATCCTCCCCACCTTCCATTACAGTGGCTTGTGCATGTGGTGATGGGGGAGGTTCACATGGACTAGGAGACAAAGAGAAATCAGTTACTGAATTCCATTTTGACACTATAACCATTTTTTAAACAGATTTTTCCCAGCAGCAGGTCCAAGTGAAAAAAGTACCTCACCTGGTTCAGAGTTGGAGGGTGTATTCCAGGAAGAGTCATCGTAGCATTTTCACTACACTTCATATAAAGGAAATACAAATACTGGAGAAATAGCTGAGTGGGGAAAAAAAGGACAATTTACCACTTTAAGAGAAAAACTCTCTCTCTATAAAGCTAAAAAGAGAGTGGAAAGAATTTTAAGAAGCTACTGAATTTAACTGTACATCAAACAAATATGCTAGATATCTGAGGACACAAGAAAGAATAAAATGTAGTCCCTGAGATCAATGAGGAGTTCATCTGGTTTGGGAGAAGTGGACAGGGAGCTTATTATACTTGTAAATAGTAAGTAGAGAAGAGATAATCCTTCTCTCAGCAATTCTTTTTGGTTTCTCCTGGTTTATAACTTAAATGGATTAGCTTGGCCTTCAGGCTTGACATCAGGAACATGCCAAGGTCTGCCGACCAAAAATCACTCGAGTCTGCTAGGCACAATTTTGTACCATCGGGGCTGGAAAACCTCTCACTCACATGAAAGAACTTGATAACCCTCTGAATGCCCTAAAAGCTAGTTAGAGTTAAGCGGCAAAACTTAAACCAGAAACAAAATTCTACAGGATTTGTAGGAACACTTACGGTGATATGTTGTGCTGGGATATCTTTCAAGTGAGGCAGAAGAAACATTTCACTATATGCTGAATGAAGAATTGCATTTCTACTTAGGACTAAAGGAAAATCTTATTTGAGTAAATAAAGGCTTTTCTACTGATATTATGAGCAATTCCCTCCCCCAATGATTTTTTCTAAATGTACACAAAGGTTTTACTTTTTCAGAAGAGCTCTAACAGTGAACATTTTCCTAATCACTAGAGATCATCTGGGGTAATTTACTATTCTATAATTGGTATTTATTCAGAATACTAATTTTCAGAATTGACAGGGACTCTGCCTTAGTATAGCTTCTTAAATAAGAAAACAGGTTTAGGTGAGTTGTTTGAATATAGCACGGAATGTAATCCATTTTCAAGCAGGAACTGAAAAAAAATAGAAAGAAAGAAAAAAACACCTTTAAGTATCTAATTACTCCTTGGCTTATTGCTTGGCATTTGATTACATTCCTGGACAATATAAGGAAAACTGTTTCAAAGGATACAGCAGAGCTGCTCTTTTTGGTATTACAGGGCACAAAGTGGTCTCTCTTGCGTTCTGAGGCTTTCCATTTAATTCTTGATCACTGTTATTGCAGTTACCTTCTTCAGGATTGAAACCGTTTTGAAGAATTTCAGTTTGCTCTTTCATTTCCTCATCTTGTACAGTACCACTGTAGCCAGAAACTGATTCCATACTGATATCTGTTCCTTGAAGACTGTCATCACTAATGCTATCATGTTAAGTGAAAACAAGATGTTGATTCTTATCAGTAATGGGACTTACTAGGAAGGTTTTTCATTTTGTAAGTACTTATAAGTTTCAGAAATCACGTAATATACTAGATTAAATGCAGTGAAGGAAAAGGACCATCAGTTTCTAACTTACCTCAAGAAAATTTTTAAGCATGCACAGGTGACGGACTCAGGAATGTCAGGGAATTGCTGTAGACAAAGTTGCAGCACTTGCACGTCGGCCTTTTCTAAGGCAGCCTCCATTAAGCCTGGACACAAGCTAAGACAGAAGAACACAGATTTTTTTTTTCCTTAAGTACAACTGATATACAATAGTTTCAAGCATACAACACAGTGGTTCACCAGTTGCACACATTATTAAATCCTCATCCCAACTAGTGCAGTTACTATCTGTCAACAGAGAAAGATGTTACAGAATGATTGGCTATATTCTCCATGCTCTACTACCATCACTATGACCAACTTATGACTGAGAATTTTTGTGCCCCTTTATCCCCCTCCCCCTCCCTACCCACATACCCCAACCCCTCCACCTAAGGTAACCACTAGTCACTTCTCAGAGTCTACGAGTCTACTGCCATTTTATTCATTTTGTATTGTTTTGTTTTGTTTTTAGACTCTGCAAGTAAGTGTAATCATAGGGTAGTTGCCTTTCTCTGACCATCTTATTTCACTTAGTGTAACACTCTCTAGGTTCATCTATGTTCTTGCAAATGGTAGGATTCCTTTCTTATGGCTGAGTAATATTCCATCGTCTATGTGTACCACATCTTCTTTATTCATTCATCTATTAATGGACATTTTAAAACACAAATCATTTTTATATGTTAAGAAAAATCTCAACTGCAAATAATTTGTAAGATTTTTCAGATTATGAAAATTAGAATGGAAAAAAACAAGTTCAAAAAGAGTTATGCCTGTAAAGTTCGGTGTACAAAATCATTTACCTGTAAGAAAGGACATGTGTTTGGACAAGCTGCATCAGAGCGTTCCGGGGATAAAATGATGGCTCTGCTTTACATCTTCTCAGAAGTCCTATTACTATATCGCCAATAATAGTATGAAAGTCATGTGTCCGCTTACTAGCCAAAAATTTATGCAGTTCTGCTTCGATGTGTTTTTCAGAATCTTTCTGAAAGGGCAGAAACAAAGAGCACAGTCTGGTACATTGATAAATGTCACTCTGAACTTAAAAGTTCAAAGTTCAACATTTTCTTAAGTCACTAATAGTATTCATGCATTGCTATGAACTGGAGTTGACACTACAGTTTGCTTCACAAAGACACACTGCAAAGAAAATAAATCCAAGGGTTTAGAAATCAAAATCTTTAAGTGGCTAAATTACAAACATATTCAATGCAAAGTTGAAGGAGATACTGACAATGCAACCACCATCACAATGATCTCACAAAATACTTATTGAGAGTCAAATAAGCCAAAGTACTGGGTCACTCTGACAATCTTAAGATACTACAGAAATGTTAGCTATAGCTACAACCATGGCCATAAAAAGAAGGTAGAATGAAAGCAGACGGGATTTCTTTCAAACACTTGAGTTGATTTTCCTATTTCTCCTATTTTTTATTTACCTTAACAGTTGAAAAAAGTGTGGATGCTGGAACCTCTGGCTGTACGTTCACATCAATTTTTCTTCTCCTTAACTGGAATTAAGTAAATTGATTAGGATTTCAAAACAATGCAAAAGATCCAATACACATTTAGAAGAGCATGAAATGTCCCAAAGAGACTAGCCCACTTCTGCTTTAATCACAATTTAAATAGTTTAGTGAAAAGTGGGTTTATTTGAGCTTTTAACTTTTATATCTTTAAGACTTTTACTAAAGTTTTTGTTTTTTAAACACAAAATAAAACCTCTATACTCAGGAAGGCATTATTACTAATTACAATTCATCTATTTTCACACCTGGGTCTTACTAAAAACACACACACCCCTACCATAAACATTAACTACAGATCATGTGTGTCATTTTTGGATAAAGACTGTCAGGTTACTGGGTTCAAGATTCAAATTGTCCTGTCATTAAGATCAAAGCTTTAAGATTTGTACAGATATGGGTCACTAAAATAATTAAATAACTGTGTTTTTCTGTTTTTCAGTATTTGCATTAACATTTCTATTTCAACTACCAAACTTACAATTCTCTTTGACTGCTCAGCATTCTGGGATCCAAGTACACAACCCTGAGATGTCTCCCAGTTTACAAAATGAGGCACAGTGTGAGTGTCTAAGAAAACAAAACACATAATTTCTGGAATTTTTTGACCTAGTGGTAATTACATAACCAATCAAAGAACAACAAAAAATAAACACTCATGCATAATTTGAGGCTTTAAAGTTCTATTTAATTCTGTTTAACCCCAGATTAGTAAATCATGATATTGTAAAAGGCAATGTGCCCAGCAATATTAGGCCAACAGATGAGTCTGCTGGTAAACCAGGGATGGTAGAGTAATTAACAATTTTGTCTGGAGAACTCTCCCACGGTCCCTAAAGTCAGAACACAGGTATTCAAAACTCAGTGTAGCTTTTTAGCCTCCAACAGCACTTGCAATGTGGACTATTACACATTAAGGGTCAAGGAAATGTCAATGAACTGTGGCATATTTCAACACTGAGAACAGCTGTACAAACTGATGGCTGTAGAAATCTACATATCACACTGAAAATTATTAAAATGGTTTATAATAAAACAAACATATAAGTTCCTACCTGGATCTTGACTATGCTTGAGTTTTCCAAGAGCACCTGCTAATGATGATACTTCACACTTGTATGGAATCACAGTTAGAAATTTTCCATGTAGCATAAACAAATTTTCCCCATAACACCAGAGCTACAGAAGATATCATCAAAAATGTTAGTAATTTTTTCCTCTTCTAAGACCTTATTCAACAAAGCCACATTACTTCTAACAATAACTTATGGTGTGAGCAATCTCAGTTATAAAAAAGGACAAGAAAAAGTTGAGGAACTTTCCAGCATAATCACTTACATACAACTTATTAATTTGGTATGGTTATACCACTTTTTTGCCCATATCTGAATGAAGTATGATTTAAAAGATACTCTTGATTCATAAAACTCTGATCAATATGCACACTAAAAATAAATGAGTTGTTTAAAATAAATGTCACAATTACACATTTATTTACATAATTACCAAAGCTATTTTAACGGGTAAACTGTTATGATACACTCAATGAAGAAAGAATTTAACACTGTTTCTTTTATGATTCCAATGATAAAATAGTAAATAAGGTATATGAACAAAAAGCTTAAAGGAACATGGAAATCAAAAATAAGTTTGCAGAGTGGAGGAATTTTGAGTCATTAATTTTGTTATTATTTGTTTAACTATAAATTATAATTAAATTGTATGCTGAGAAATCTAGTCTCTTTATCCTCTACTGATATTTACAATTATATTGATAATAACGATTATCAGTAACATCCTACTATCTAGCTTTACATTTTATTTGCATATGGATATTCATTCTCTCAACGACCAACACTGATTGCACATCTTAGCCAGGTGCTGAAGATTTAACTGAGAATAAAGCAGATATGGGTCTCAGTCTCAGGAAGTTTATAGTCTGGCTTGGCTTAGATTTTAGTTCTTTAAGGAGATAATTCTTATGTCATTCCATGAAATGTTTAACATATAGCCTAAGAGACTAATTTATTAGGAAAAGTAACAGCCCTGAGGTACAGTACAAAATACAAAACTAAAAAGATCAAACCAAAGAGCACCTAGAAACAAGTTGTTTTGTTAACTAGCTAATTGTTCTCCTTTGACATAAAACTAGCTATAATTTATTCTTTTAAAAGTCACAAACATAAGGAAACTACTAAAACAAGAACCAAATTAATATAATCTTGCAGGTAAAAAAATATTTTTTCATCAAAAATTGCCAAAATGATGTTACAAGGTCTCTTCCTTTATGTATATTTATCAGGCACAAAAACAACTAAATTTGAAAAAAATATTGAAGTGCAAAAACTTACTTGACCATTGGTCCCTTGTGGTAACTCTTTTGAAGTCTGTAGTGTTTGAAATTTTGTGTTCCATATGGAGAGGCATTCTATAAAATAAGACATGAAAATTCAGAAGTCATCCCAAGTATAAATATATGATACTCAGCGAGGGGAAGGAGAACAGGGATGAGTAACAGTTAAACACAGAAGTCTTTTTTATTAAGTATAAAAACGAGCATGAAAACAGTGATGACCACAAAACTCAAAGATATGATATCTCATGACAGGAAGTGGACAGGTTTGGGGGTGGGGATATCTGTGTACCCTCCCCTCAATTTTGCTGTGAACCATAAACTCCTCTAAAAAAAACCAAGTCTAAGGAATAATAATAAATATGCTGATATGGAAAGATCTCTATGATATCTCAAGTCAGTGAATAAGGTGCACAACAGTGTGTACAGTATGCTACCGCCTGTGTAAAAAGAGAAGGAAAAAAAAAGTAGTAATATTTGCTTGTATACATATTTAAAGTTTGGAAAGAGATGCAGAAAACTCTTGACAGGGATTACTGTGTTTTGCAAGGTAAAGCCAGAACCAGAAAGAGGGAGGATAGGGGATGAGCGAGAAGCACAACATGGTAAAGTGGTTAAGAGCCAGGACGTAAGTGCAGTGGGGTAGAGGGCCTAAGAGTCAACCTGCTTGGGTTGAATCCTAGTTCTACTAGTGACCTAACACCTCGGATTCCTGATTTTAAAGTGGTATGTTATTCAAGTAGTTATTTTATGTTCTCTCATTGGGTTGTTCAAAGATTAAACAATCAAAATAATGAGATACTATAAATGAAATGACTGGCACAGGATAGCTATGCTATAACCAGTAGCTCCTATTTTAATAGGTAGGAGAAACCTTAAGAACAAAGTATGTAGGTGAGGATGGGCATAGCAAGTCCGCAGTTAACAGGGAGCCTGGCCTGAATAAAGCAGAGGGTTCTTGCTCCATAATTAGGAGGAGAGACTGGAAAAGATGGATAGAGTATTGACTGTGGATAGCCCTGAATTCCCTACAATAGATTCTGAGTTTTATAGTGTAGGCTGTTGAGACCCCAATCTAGCACTGGCCAGGAACAGTTGTGTTCTTTATGATAGGCTACCAGTCCGTGTGTGCGGAGGGGTGTTTGGGAGCAAGGAGGTGAGGTGATGAGGAGAACCTTGATCTGAAATCACAGAGATGAAAAAGGATACTAATAGTCCCCAAATTTTAAGCAGTCCAAGCCCACTGGATTTCCATTCAGTGAAATGTTGCCTAGCCATGGATTCAATCGTCTTCTGCAAGGCTTATCAATGGTTCAAATGGATATGGGCTGGCACAGATACCTGCAAGTCTTATTTCTATAAGACCTTAGTCACGGGCAAGGTAGTGACACAGGTAATAATTTAGAAAGATAATCCAATTCAAGATGAAATCAAAGACATATTCAAAAAAGAATTAGGAAGCTACAAAAATATTAGTATAGTGATAAAGAAAATGAATTAGGGTGGTACTAAATAAATGAAAAAAACAGAGAATACCAAAAGATACAGTTTGAAGGAAAAATCTGAAGGACTTCTTAACTGATAGGATTTCAGTTACCCTTGGAAGCTGACAGTGGTGGTCCCAGGACTGCTACATGATCTTGATCCAGGACAGTGAATGCGATACCATTTCGAGCATTACCAGACACTACAGTCTTGAGCAACAGGGATCTAACTACAGTCTGATTTTTTTCTGGGTCACTCGGATGTATTGGTAGCAAAGTTTCATACACACATCCATCAGAGCCTGTTGGAAACAAGTATTTGTTCTTCATTACTGGATGAAGGACAGTTCTGTATCTGTTACAGTTACATGTACTAGGTTGTTTGTAAGATGTTACCAGTATGATACAGGAACCAGACAGAAAAATAAACAAATGTAATAATTACATTAATCTTGGCTTTCCCTTAAGAGTATGCTACAAAACTAATATTGAGGAAGGAGTATTAATTAAAATTGTAGTAAGTATACTAGGCAAGAAATAAAAACTATAAATACCTGTAGTAACTTAAAATATGAGAGAAGACTGTCAGGAGTACAGACAATCTGGTCACTAAAAAGGCTGTATCTCTCATTAAAAATTAATCCACATTCTGATCTATACATTATATATATTATTACTCTAACACTCTGAAAACCATACAAAATTGCTATTTTTTGAAGGCCAACTGAATTTTGGCAATTGCATGTGGTTCTAGGTATGTAACATGAAAATTTTATGACCCTTTGTTTCAGACTCCCTTACTTCAAAATAAGCTGAAACATAACTCACAAACTTTTATTTAACAATAAATACATCCTACAGGTTAAACTAAGAAAACCAGTCCTTCTTAAGCAAAGGCATTAAGTGGATTCCAATAACCTTTTAGATATAATAAATGGTGGGAACCTTTTTCTTAATAGCCATTGCAAACATTTGCACGGTGAAAACCTTCACAAAGATTTTAAATTGTGGTAATATGTTTATGTTTCCTAAAGATAGCTCTTGTTTTTCATCCTTTAACTTTCTCAAAACAATTTCAAAAAAAGCCATAAAGGGCAGGGGGAAGGAAATACCACAAAGGCGTATTTCCCCCCTCTAAATGCATATGGCTAGGGTTATACTTTAGACCATCACATAGAGATAAACCCCAAGGCATTAAAAAATCTGTAAAATGTTGCTGGCAGAGGCCAAGACTATTCAGTCAGTCCTCTTTTAGCCATCTGTCTCTGCCACTGGTCAAAGAAGGGTACGCTAAATCTTAAGGCTAGAAAAGAGGAATGGAGGGGCCACTCGATCCAATATTAGATATTTTATGGTTCATTAATTATGATACCAAAGAACCTGGCCTTATCATGACACAGATAAAAGGTGATTTTCCCTTTTATATTATTATTTATTGCTTATGGTAAATGTTAAGACATAAAAGTTACCTGCAGAGAACCAGACCTAATGCATGACCAGACACGGCAAAGTGCAAAAAGTGAAGGCATACATGCTTGTAAGCAGGCCTGTCAAGGAAAGTGCTACGATAGAAAACTGGAGAAACCTAAGACTAACTTATAAATAAAACACTATCCTGTAATATTCCTCTACTTACAATATGAAAGTTTAGAGAAAAACACTTACTTAATGACATCAAAGAGATGAATGTTCGATCTATAGATGCAGTAAAGCTCTGTATAACAGATTTTTCTTCTTGTCCAAGTAAGAGTGTGTATTTGCTTAAGACACATGAGTTAAACTTTTGCACATAAGCAAGGTAATTTCCATGCTGCAAAAAAAAAAAAAGGTTATTTTATTTTAAAAATATCCCATTCCACCCAACTATATTTAAATATTGTCAGTTCTTGCCCATTCTAATTACTTCAATGGGTGCTTAAAAACCTCTTGTCAATTAAACATGTTATAAAAATATTTCTTTATAGCTAATAGGCTTTTTAGTATTGTATTGTATTGTATTGTATTGTATTGTATTGTATTGTATTGTATTATATTTATTATATTATATTATATTATATTATATTATATTATATTATATTATATTATATTATATTATATTTATTATATTATATTATATTATATTATATTATATTATATTATATTATATTATATTTATTATATTATATTATATTATATTATATTATATTATATCATATCATATATCATATCATATCATATCATATTATATTATATTTTATATTTTTTTATGCAGGGGATGTCAAACCTCTTTGAGAAGAGTGTTCCATGCATTAGTACATCATTTATAATATATTAATGAATTGGGACATTATGAATTTACTGTGGATAATTTTTCTTTCTAGATAAGTCTGTTTATATGTCCAAAGTTCATTAGTAGTTGGAGTAGTAGCAATAACATTATTTATGCTTAGCACTGTACTTAGATTAAAAGTGTGGGAGCCTGTTAAGTTCAACAAGGAGGATTCTAGGAATGTGTGATTCTAGTGATTTCTAAAAAGATTGAATCACTGCCTATGTAACCAATGCAGCATGAATGTTTTAGGAGTTGACTTCTCTCGTTCTCCTCATGATTGAATTCAGTGAACTTTTAGCTTACTACTTTGTAAGAAAGGTTGAAAGTCTATTATGTGTGCTCTTTTAACATTGACCGCTTTTAGTTCATGTACTATATCTCTGAAGCTGTATAAATACCCTATATCAATTAGAATTAATTTAATCAATGATAGGTGATCCAGTTATAGAATTCTTAGTGATTAAAAAAAAGTATCAGAATATGACACAAATATATAAATCTTTCATGGCTATTATGCTTTACAAAGAGTGGGCGAGACTTTAATACTGTAAAAGGAAAATGCCCTGCCCAAAAGATGTTTTCATTAATTGTGGGTATGTTAACATGAAATTTAACATGATCAGCATGTCATGTTAAAGAGCACTAGACCTTTTTAGTATTTTAAAAAGATATGAAATAAAAATTCTTCTGAGAGGAATACTAAAGTCCCCTTTTAGTTTAGGTGATTCTGAAATGTCACAAAATGGGCCAGGAATTAAAGATATCACTTACTTTTTCAGTAATAAAGATTAAAACAGGATGCCTAAATACCATGATAAACTTTGCCCACCTAAAAAAATAAAAAGAAAAAATTTCAAGTGCCAAATCACCAGTGTGAGAAACATATCAATTTAAATTTAAGAAATTATTTCTTTATTAAATAATTTTAGAAGCAGAGAGACATCAGAGAACACTTAATTCAGTGTTTCAAAATACATACCCCAAGGAATTAGGCATTTCTGTGTCAAAAGCATCTCTGCATGAAATGCAAATTGCCGGGGGACTCTCTTGTCCCCTCCTGTCCTGAGCCAGGAGCTCGGTCCTTTGGCTTTCTCTCTAAATAAAAGCCTCTGCCTTGCTCTCCTACCTTGAGTGTCTGCAAAGTTCATTCTTCGATTCCACAAACAAGAACCCGGCATCATTTTTGGGGGCTCGGCTGGGATAACTTCAGAGGTGAGTATTGCCATCTGAGCCTGCCTGCCTTCTTCTTGTCCTTATACAAGGAAGCTGTCTATGGCACTCAAAATCGGGCGCTCATCAGCTACTTAAATGGGACTAGCCCAGCTGCCAATCAAGTCTCCAGCGACAGGTTCCCCTGCGTCTCCCTCAGTGGATCCCCCGTCTCCCTTGGGAGCCGGGAATGTCAGCTGAGTGGAGGCCAGGATTCCCTTTCAGAGGCATCTCCCTGGATGCGAGGGACTGAGGAAGGCTGTGGGCACCTGCGAGAGTCTAGGCTGAGGCTACACTTCAGCGGCTTCTCAAAGGCCCGTGTGTCTGGAATCAGACCCCGACAGCCCGACTGGGTATCCCTGAGGAATGACTCTGTCTCTCTGACTTCCAGTCTGCTTTTTCAGGTCACCCTGGTCTCTGAGTGAGGCTCTTTACTTTCTTTCCATGCTCTATGTGTGCCTCTAACTTCACCAATTTCATGGAACCCTATGAAGGTAGGAGATCTACGCTTCGCTCTTATTCTTGACTAAATGCTGTACTTTTTACCTCATAAAAATGTGTCTGGACACTTGTTAGCCACTTGAAATTTCGACGATTAGCGTTGGCTACCAGTCTAAAGTCTCAGGTGAAAGGTTTCCCGATGTCTGCCATTCCTTGATCCCCCGCCTCCAGATGGGAATGTTGGGGAGTGGCTGAGCCAATTTCCTACTTTCCCCTCCTAATCTGCGGACTCTGAGGGCAGACCAGATTAGAAGACAGTGGTCCTTGGATCTCAGCTCAGAACAACTGATCCGATGGTGCTGAGTGAACCTCGGGCTAGGCTGCTGCCTATGTGAGAGTCGCAGATGATCCCCGACCTCTTTGTCTGACAGTCAGATTTCTCACAGTGGGTGACTAGCAGGATAATTCCCAGGCAGTGGCAGAAACTGGCATTTGAGGGTATAGAACCCCCCACTTCATAACTGTCCATGGCAGCCTTTGTTTGAATTTTATCTCTGGCCTTGGAAAAAGTTCCCTTGCTCCTCATTTGAAGCAGTTCTCTTGGGACTGTGCCACTTTTTCCTGTGTAGAGTAAATGAAGTTTGTGAGGTAGTCAAGCTGAAACCTGAGCCCAACATGTAAATGGTTCTGTTCTATTGACCTCTCTTCCTTAAAGGCAGTCATCCTGGGGTACGGCATTTCCTTTCCTGCAACCCCCAGGGAAGTGGAACAGGCTTGTGACTCTGACCGACATGGCAGTGAGAAGTCACACACTCCCTGCACTTATCAGACAGGCAGGGGCCTTGCAAAAAAAATGATCCCAAGTGTATTATGCTAAAGCCCGTGCAGAAGAAATTAGGGTCTGGATTAGAACTCCCAAAAGGCATAAAGGAGGAGCACACTGGTAAGGTACCACTAAATCCAGAGCTCTGAGGCGACTCTTGCTGAGTGGGAAGGCAAGAAGGGAATCAAGGCAAGGTGCAGGCCATGCTGGTAAGGAGTGGTTAAATCCAGCAGGCCCGGCAGAGGAGGTGATTGACCACTATCATCCAGGCTCCAAGGTGAGGGGACGCTGGCACAGAAAAGGCCGACCAGGTGTCGCAGGCCTGTCTTTCTCTCTCTCTCTTCCAGATGGGAGCATCCTCTTAAAGTTTAAAGCCAGACACGCCTCTGGCATGCATTCTAAAGAGTTGGGAGCAATTTGTTCCCCAAACCCTGAAAAAAAAGGTGCCTTGCCTTCTGCACACAAGCCTGGACTAAACAAACGCTCTGATTGGAGAGCCTTGAACCCTGAGAGAAGTATACAATATAATAATGTTATACAGCTAGATTTATTTTGCCACAAGGAAGGAAAATGGTCGAAAGTCCCATGAACTACTACTACCAATATAAAACTGTTTTTCTAAATCCTTCTATTGGAAATCCATTCTACTTACTGGGTTCATCATTATCCTAAAAAATTGGGAGGTTTTTGAACTAGACTCCCTGAGAGAAATTTATCTTCTGCAATACAGCTGGCTTAAATCTTTCAAAAGAAAGAATGCTTGAAGAGAGGCTTGACTTTCTCATGTTTAGTGAATGTTTTGTGGGTGATCTAGCATGGTTGTTAGAACGAGTGAACTGAGTAAGTGTGGTAACTAAACTTCTTCTTGGCTATAAGAATGTTGGAATAAAAACATCCCATACCCAGCAAACTTCCCAAGCCTCCAACAATGGACTTAGGAGTGTTTTTCATTGGTATGATCACCTAGCCCCAATTTTTACACCATCTCTTGGTTTAGAAAATGTAATTTGGCATATCAAATCCTTAAACAATTTTACTCAAAAGGTCTTAGTACTAATGCTAAACTAATGCACCAAGCAGTTATACAAAATAGAATGGTACTACACATCTTAACAGCAGTACAGGTGGGACCTGTGCCCTAGTTAAAGTTGTATATTGAGTGTACATTCCAAATTATTCACAAAATGTCTCTGATTCACTCCAGGACCTCTGAAAGCTAGTTCAAGCTCTCAGGCCCATAAGTCCCATGGACTACTACGATATGGAGCTGGTGTTGTAAATTCTTTTGAAGTCATGAAACTGCAAATAGTGATGGAAATGGAACCCAGGATGAAAATGCCCATCTTTTGAGGCTTCTCGACTAACCAGTAATGGAGACCTAACTGCACCCTTTACTGCACCCCCTCTCAGCAGGAAGCAGCCAGAGCGGTCTTGCCCCCTTTCCCCTAGCAGCAGCAGGGTCTCCATCTGTAGAGGGGGGAATGAGACAGGGACCATGGGTTTAGACAGAGTAGGGTGAGGTCCTCTGGAAAAAACAAAGCAAGATAACCCATTGGGGATTTGCTTTAGCCTGCTGGGGGGCCCAGCTTGTTTTTCTAACTTTACCCAAGTGGTACTTTTCTTCCTCCAGCCCTTAACAAATGATTTGCAACCTGGGCAATGTAGCAAGCAAGCCCAAAACAATGTAGCAAAAACAGGAAGGATTCCATCTTGAAAATAAAACCCAATTACTTAAAAAGTAAGTTTCTTAATAAACAGACAATAACTCAGCCCACCTTGGGAAGCAAAGCAGGCAGTCTTAAGTGATATGCTCCCAGACCAGGAAGCTGAGCTGCTATCCTGGGGGGAAACCAGAGCAGTAAAATTCTTGTAAATAACAAGGAAGACTAATAAGAAACTTAATGTCTCTTCAAAGATAAACATTTTGGGACTACTTAGCAGGTGTACATCCCTAGCCCTTTGTCTCTCAACCGCCTATAAAACCCTAGACAACGCGCACCACCCCGGGCTCTCTTGCCCCCTCCTGGCCTGAGCCAGGAGCTCTGTCCTTTGGCTTTCTCTCTAAATAAAAGCTTCTGCCTTGCTCTCCTAAAAAAAAAATAAATGCAAGTTGCTGAAATTCCCAGAGCTTTGAGGATAATAACTTAAACTATAAAGTTTCAAGGTAGTGGGGATGTATGTATGACAGTATACAGTATTTCAGCTAAGTGTTTTAAAGTTATTTGACACCCCTCTAGTTTTCTGAGAGTTGCTTTTGGGACTAGCGTTCTAAGGAAAAGATTAGAATTTCATCTGCCTTCCTCAAGTGACAGCGAGAACTGAGGCACAGGGAGACTGAAGGGTTTGAAACTAAGGCTGCATGGCCAGTTTTTGGCAAAGTGGCAATTAGAACCCAGATTTTCTACCTGTTAATCTTTTTTTCCTAAATATTTGCTTTAAACATAGTTGCTCACACGTCAGAGGCTTTCAGCAGGGCAGTCCAAGACAGGACCTGCCACTGTCCACATGGTTCACTTATTAAACACAAGTCTTTGCTTTGACCTTTAGAAATTTACGTTGCATGAGGTGGACCTGAAGAAGCAGGAAGTTAACTGAACAGAAAATGTGATAAAATAATGGGAAATAGATAAATGAAATCACAAAATTTCCTTCTATTTTTTGGGTGAGTCATTTTCCAAGTTTTACTTCACAATCTGGGAACGCAGAGGGCTGATAGCACTACCATGATTTCACCAACAAGCTGCACCTTCTGCAGGGGGAAGGGTTCCCACTGTGGCAGTCAGGGCAGTAGGACAGAGATTTTGGTCTTGTGGGATTATCCATTTCATCTTCAAATAACTGACTGTCCAGTTCTGTCATTAAAACAGGACTCATATGACCCAATCACTTACCACCCTAAAGGCTTTGGGGGGTGTTGTTTTGGCCAACATCTTTTAAATAGTTTTAATTAGACTACTTTTATTAAGTTTATAACCAAATTACCTTTGCGCAAGACAAAGAATGTTATAAAGAACATGCAGAACATATTTTCACTTTGGTGAAAAATGACTTACAAGTGTTGGAACTTACTTAATCACTTCTTCATCAGAAATAACAGTTTCAATTTTCTGCTGTGGCTCTGTAAGCAAGGCCTCTAAACCACGAACTGCACCTTCCTTGAAGAGCACGAAAGGTTCTGTCCCTTGTATAGAATGTATCCTATATACCTCAGCCGACAACTACAAGAACATATGAGTATTTTAATCTTTATTATAAAACAATTGCCAACTAAAAGAATAAGGATATTTACAGAAGGCTTATTTTTGAGGACTGATTCGTTTCCATTTTTATTCAGTTTTGTTTTACAGTTATGGTTCCAAAGTCAAATCTACAAAATACAGACCAAAGTCTAACTTCTGCTCCTATCCTGTCTATCCTACCCCTGCTCCCCTCTTAAGTAAGCATTTCTGTTTATTTCTGGTTAATCCTTCCATTGTGAATGCTGAAGGTGAAGCTACAAACTGGGTCTCCCAAAACTGGATGTGGGAGAGGTAGAAAAAAAGCCACTAATGCAGTTATAAGTTATTCTGGTGCTGGGTAAACATTGATGTCATAATTACAACTGTAGCCTGCAGACACTAACCCCACTGTGTAAAATTCAGGATCATGTTAGTGCAAGGTAGATAAAAAGACTAAAGTCAGGAGACAGCACAGTTAGCTAGAAATTTCAAAGGCACAGGGACCAACAGCCATTGTATTTGTATCAGGTCTACTGTAAGCCACTTCTAAAATGTGCCAATTATACTGACATTTTTAAAACTGGAAGGAACTCTCAAGATTAACCAAGTTTGAGATCCTCATTTTACCAGTAAGAAAAAGTTAATTAACATATTTCAGGTCATAGTAGAAAAGGCATAGTTAGTCACAGTTCTTTTTTATTGCCTTATGTGCCACTCTTAAAATTTATAATGCATGAAATACGCAGGGACTATTGTACCTATTTTAAGAAAAGGCACAGTGAAGTCAAGTTGTTCTCCCAAGGGCACACCACAAAAATCTAAACTCAGGGAAATAACTACAAATTATCATTCAGAATTATTTAAAACCTTAATCCCATGGGCTAATAAAGTTTATATTTTCTAAGCTATTAATTAACTCATGAATTGGTATGTTACCAAGATACATTATAAGATAACTAGAATGAAAAACTGATAATAACCTTTATTTTCACTTTCACAGATGTATTAAACCAACTATATTACAAATTATTCCACCTCACCAATAAGCTAATAAATATTTTGGAAAATCTAAAGACTTACTGTAGTTTTAAATGCTTTCTCCAGATTTACATCTTCATCATTCCATATTCTCAAAACCTTTAAATCAAAACATACAAGTTAAAAAAGGATTCCAATTCCATTTACATAAACATGAAGTCACTAAATCATTTGACTTATACTGTATATATAAAAAGTTATAAAACTCACCTTATGATCATGTACAACAATAAACTCTCCAGTTTGAAAGTTGCATACAGCTGGACATGTTATAATCTGACCTTGTTTCACTGACCAACTCCCCAAGGGTTTCTGATCAGAAACCTAATAAAATTAAGATAACATAAAATACTCAAGTCAATTTCAGACATTAAAGGCAATTAAATTTACAATCAAAAGAAGAAACCATTAAAATGATAGCATTTAACAAATTTCTAAAACGCAGTCACAAAAAGATAAATACTGTATTATTCCACTTAAGACAGAAAGTAGAATGGTGGTTGCAATAGGCTGGGGGAATAAGGAGTTACTGTTTAACGGGTACAGTTTCACTTTTGCAAGATGAAAAGAGTTTGTGATGATGGTGGTGGATGGGGATGGATGATGGTGATGGCTGCACAACAATGTGAATGTACTTAATACCCTGAACGTACACTTAAAAAAATGAAGATGAAAAAATGTATACTATGTGCATTTTACCACAATTAAAAATATGAAAAACTCCAAAGGAGTAGTTAAAATGAAAATATTTATAAATCTAGTTGCTAAAATGAAAAAAAAAAAGGTAAATTAACAACACTGTTAAACAGTAGCACATTTAAAGAACTGATTCCATTGTGACTTTGAACAGGTGCATAGGAAATTAGGTAGGGATAGCTGGGATCCTGCCAATTTTCATCGGCCACTGTATTCCTATGCAGGAACTGTTAATTACTATGCAAAATGTTGTCCACTTGACAGCCCAGGTAAAACACCAACAGCGACATCACAAGAGCCAAAACCATCCAACAGTAACAGGGAACTGTTGGCAACCTGTTCCTAAAACTTAAAAATAGATAGCTAGCTTCTTAAAGACAAGGACAATCACGTTCAACAGCCCAGATAATAATTATTACTTTCTACGCTACCACGCAAAGCGAAGCTGCTTAGAAGGGGAGTTGAAACCTGAGTAAGGATGTAAAGGGGGCGGGGCGTATAGATTTCTTTAATTCCAGGATCTACAGCGTGTTGGTAACAGATCTGGGAATCAAGTTTCCCATCAAGATACCAAGGAAGCAAAGCAAAACAAGAATCTGCACAACTTTTTTCCCTAAGGGGAGGAAAGAGGTGCTCGAGTGCAGGGACTCGAGGATACACCTCTGTTCCCAAGCTGTAAGTCTCCTCTGCTGCCTAACCAATCTCGGCTCAGTCCTTCTGCGGGCCGCTGGGTGACAGCGATCCCCGGAGGGGAACTTGGCAAGGTCATCTCCAAGAGACCCCAAGCGGAGGCACAGGTTTCCTGGCCGAGTCTAGCCCACGTGCACTTCGACGTTCTGCCACCTGCAACTCGGAAACAGGCTTCTCTTCAGGAAAACAACCGAATCACATCCTAAACCTCATTCAGCGCCCTGGGGAGGCCATGCCGGCTCTCTGCTGAGCCAGCTCGACAATCTCTTTCTGAAGCTGTGAGAAACCCGAGGCTCCAGCTCCGCGTTCAGAAGGGGACGAGACCGCAGCGGGGCTCTCCGAGTCTATCGCCCTCACCTGATAGAGGATGACGGTCTTGCCGCTGTCTGTCACTAGAAACTGGTCTGTCTTGTTGCTCGGCTCCACGCCTAGGAGGCCGTTAGGCCCGGCACCCAAGGGTACCGCAGACAACGTGAATTCACCCTCGAGGGCTGCCATTTTGGGCAAACCTGACTGCCCCGCATCCTTCCCGGCAGGCTTCGCGCCTTGTCTCGCGAGAATTAAGAGCCCGACTGGGAGGACTCTAGCCAAACGAGAAATCTGTTTGCTGAGTCTGCGACCTCTGGCGGGCAGAGCGGGCGCGCGGGGCCTGCAAGCGACTTCGGGAGGGCGGAGCGTGCCGTTTGCGCCTAGACTCCGCCTCCCAGAATCCCGGATGTACTTCCCTTGCTGGGCGGGGGCGGACGGGGAACAGGTTACCTGTTCCGAGCGGAAGCTGCTGCCCCTTTTCCAGCCTAGGACTGGAGAGACTGAAGCGTGGGCGTGGCAAATGATCAAATACTAAATAAACTAGATTTTTATTTCCACTTGTCTCACAGCCTCAAGGAGCAATGTGCCAAAGGAAAAAAACTACCTCTTTAGATAAATTCTTAATAACGTGCTGTTCCTAAATGAAATGCCAAATGCCGCATCTCGGAACGCGCCACTGATCCCAGTCCTGCTGCCTTTCGGCCTCCCGGGTTGTCTCGGTCTCCGGTGTTCCCTGAGCAGCCGCCGGAAGTCCAGATTACAGAACCTTCAGACTTGGCTGATGACAAGGTGCAGCTGAAGGTGTCCTTGGGCAATATTTAGCAAGCGTCGTCTCTGGGATTGATTTCTCAGATAAATGTAGTTGATCCAATCAATAATTAAAAACTTTTTAAATTTAATGATACATTGTGCAAATAGGCAATTACTAAACAAACATACCATATTACATCACACGGCAAAATTTAGATTAAGCATCCACACCACTCACCCTTACGTTTCGTTTCCTCATGGCCACAACATTATAGCACTGGAGAAAGGAGAATATGTAGGTATGGTGAAGGAATCAAATGCCGGAAATTCTTAAAAGGACTAACAGGCCTTTTATTTTTCCTAGTGACCAAGGAATTTGACTTTGAATTTGTGGCCCCTTTGTTAGTTGGAAAAGAATTACTGAGAGTTTCAGAGACATCTTGTCCTCTGTGAAACCTTACCTTTGTTGCCAGCACAATCAATCAGCTTCTCTACTGAACCTGGTTGGGTACCTACTGCTCATGTTTCAGATCCCGGGACTTGTCCTCCTCCAGGAAGTCTTCCCTGACTTTCTAAGACTGGATTAAATGTTTGATCCAGAGCACCAATGTTACTGTAACAAGTGTTACTCATATATCTCTCCCATTATGTTAATTTTTTTGAAGGAATGCTGGATTTATCACTAGTATTTGTACTAGTAGTGCCTGTCCCATAAATGTTTGTAGTACTAATGAATAAGCAGTGAAAACTTACTCATAATATGAATTTGTGCTTTCCCTCTTCTTCAGCTTGAAAACTTTTAAGACAGGGGTTCTCAGACTTTGTGACTTCCTTTACATTCTTAAAAAGTATCAAGGGCCATGAAGAGCTTTTGCTTATATGGGTTATATATATTGGTATGTACTGTATTAAAAATTAAAACTGAAAAATTCAGAAATACGTATTTATTCATTTAAAATAAACTTATTACTTATGAAAAAAATTTGAAAAACAATTTAGTGAAAAGAATGGCATTATTTTCCTTTCTTGCAAATCTCTTTACTGTCTGGCTTAATAAAAGATAACTGGATTTTCACATCTACTTCTGTATTTAATCCATGTGGCATGCGTGTTTTCTCCTGCTCCCTTTACGCGAATGACAACATAGTATATCTAGTGCTCTGCCTTTTGCTTCGCCTAACCAATACGTCTTGAAGATCATTCCCTGCCACTACATAAAGAGCTCTCTCATCCTTTTTTTACTCTTGCATAATTGGGAACTGATTTTTGATAGTTTGGGGATTTCGTGAAATATGTAGCTATTTATAGAATATGGGTAATATTCTATTTCTAACTTTGGGAGGTGGATTCACAAAGATGTGTTTTATTACATACATATTATGCTTCATAACTTATAAGTGGCAAGGAGAAAAAAAATAAGGCTAGGAAGGGGGAAGTGAAGTGGGGAGGTGTGTATGTGAAATTTTAGTTGGGATGCGCCTCCTTGAGTAATGATGTGAAGGAGGAGAGGGAGCTAATCTCCTAGTTAGCTGCGATGAGAGCACGCAACAGCAAGGGCGATGTCATGTGGCACAAGCAGGGACATTCCTCAGAGGCTGTAGTTACTGTGGTTATCCAGATGAGAGGTGATGAGGACCCCATCATTAGAGAGGCCTTCTGTCCACCTTGTCTAAAACAAGTTTTGTCCATATTCTCTTAACAACCTATTTCTTTTTCATCACAGTTTGTAATTATTTAACTGTTTGCTCACTTACCTAGGCTCCCTGACTACATCATAAGCTTCTTAAGGGTGAAGGGGGGGCTGTCTGTGATAGTCATCCCTATTTCCTAGCACTTAGCAGGCATTCAGTAAAAATGTGTTGTTTGATTGAATGAATCACTTTACATTTTTGTATTCGCAGCACCAGCAATTGTATTTGATTCATATAAAGAGTTTAATACATTTTTGTTCAAATAAATCACACTTATGTGGCAAGCCATTGTAATAAATGAGATGTGGACTCAATCCATTAGGACACAGTAACACTGGTTAAGAAAGCTAAAAGTGCCCTTTCATATTTGTATTTAACTTTGAGTCCAAGTTTAGTAAACTGTTAAAGGAGATTGCAGTCCTTTTCAGAAGGACATCAGCTGTAACAGGGAAACTAAGGGTCTTCTGCAACCTAGCCTAAGTTAGGAGTGGGTTATAGTGCACTACTTCCAAGATGCATAATCAAGTTCAATGAGCAGGAACAGGGCGGGGCTCTCCATCACTGCTTAGACTTTTGAGAGCTAGTTTCAAAGGCAGCTGTGACCCTGTACGTTTTACTCTGTGCTGTGGATGTTCTCTCTGGATTGTTTGTCACATTTATTAGGCTGCTTGCCTGCCTTGCTGTGAAGACTAGGGGAAGATATTGCCTCTCACGTTCAGCTCCTAGAATAGAATTAGGAGATAAATGTACAATGAGCAAGTCTAATTATATAATGAGTAGGAGGAGATGCCTGCCATATTCAAAAGAGAGAATGTTACCCATTATTAATTTTTCATGCAAGGTTGACAGTTGGTGGCATGCACATTGCATGAGTGGGATATATATAGTAAGGACTTTGCTGAGGAAACATTTCTAGAAAAACCATTTCGAAAAGAGAATGGATGGTGCCTATATATGTTCCATCAAGGCTCCATATTAGATAGAAGTTGTGGTAGTTCTTAAATAAAGTCTAAGATGCTCTGAGATGTTTTCCAGTTCTAAAGTCTCAAAACTCCTTTGAGGTAAATGTTGAAATCACAGCAATGAATTGAACAATGTAATTTGAACTCAGGCAGACATTTCTGAAGGTGTTTCCCATAGCAAATATCAGTGAAAAAGGAAAAATCTAAGCTCTTTTGTCATGATTTGGGGCATACATTTCAATCTGATGCTAGTGCCCTCCCAATGAGTGCCCAAACCCAATGGGGTGGATTTGGAGTTTGAAGCCAAGCAGGCACTTGTGATTTAGTTGCACCAGGATGGGGAAGTGGGAGAAAAACCTGGGCTGAAATTTTTAGATGGGTGGGCAGAGTATAGAGTCCAAGGAACTGAACAAACTTCAGGAAGACTTTGGGCAAACTGTTGTCACTAGGGGTACAAGGTGACGTCAGAGGAGCCCTGAGCAGTGACCAGAGCACTGGAAAAGTAAGTGCTGCCTGGTGAATGAGTAAACAACCTAGGAGGGCTCTGGCCTCCAAAAGTGGTGTCCAGTTACTGGGAGGAGGATCAAGGTGAAACAAGAGCAAGACAGAGCTTCACATCCGGCCAGAAACCACTGACACTTCCTCTTCCTTGTCTCCCAGATCCAAACTGTTCCAATGTATTCTTTCATTTCACAAATATTGATGAGTGCCTAGGGACTGAATTCAGCAGTGAACGAGACAGATGAGGCTCCCCTTCCCAGGGAGCTCTCTTTCCCAAGGGCGAAGACAGTCTGCTCAAGAAAAGTCTTCTTGATGGTGGGACCTTCCCACTGAAATCTGATGGACAAGGAGTCAGGTGAAGGGGACAATGGAAGACAGTGAGGCTGAGAAAGGCAGGGTCCTTGATCTTGCAGGGCTCTCTGTGAGGGTGACGAGTCAGCATCTTCTAAATACAATAAGAAGTCATTGAAGAGTTTTAAGCTAGGGTATGATTTGTTTTTTGAAAAGATCACTCTTGCTCCTGAGTGGAGAATAGGTCATGGGTGAATCAAAGTAGAAAAACAAAGACTACTTTTGAGGCTCTAGCATTCATTCATCTGGATGCACAAGATGGCGACCTATGGTAGGTGGGAATAAGAGAGAGAAAATTCAGAATGGGATTTGGGAGAGAGAGTGGACAAGGTGGTGAATGGACCGAGGATGGCAAAGAGAGGGGGAGAGGAATAAGGACAAGTCCTGTACTTCTGCCGTGAGTGACCAAGTGGATTAGGGTGGTCTTTTCTGACATGCTGATGATGGGCAGGGGAGGGGAGATTTGCTGGGAGCGGTTTGGAGAGGCCAGACCTAGAGTTCTATTTGGCTTTGTTAAGTCTGAGATGTCAAATAAGGGGTAGCCCCTAAGAGCTTGGAGTTCCTGGCAAAGGTTCAGGTTGGAGATTCACCTGCACATGGAAGGTCCCTAAAGCAGTGGCACCCCCGTTAAGTGCTGTTGATTTTGTCTTCTAAATGTAACTCAACTTGTCCACTTCTTTCCTACTGCATGGTTACCTCAACCCCCTTCCCTTGGACCACTGTAATTGCTTTATTATTTCCCTGCCTCTCCACCTGTCCCCCTTCGAATCTGTAGCTAGTAGATCTATTGAAAATTCCAATCAGATTATGCCATTCCCTGCTTAAAACCCATTAATACCTTGTTCTCAAGATGAACAAGACAAATCCTTACCTGATCCACAGATAGGGTTGCCGAATAAAACACAGGCTGCCCAGTAAAGTTGAACTTCAAATAACAAATAATTTTTTAGTGTAAATATATCCCATGTAATTATTTATT